TATACCGCTAACTGATTTTTCTACCGTAATAATATTTAATTTCTTCTCTGTTGGAATAAAAAAAAATATAAGGGGAAAAAAAAACGATAAAAAAAGAGGAAAAAAAAGGGGCATAAAGACGGACAGCTTCAAACCAGGGAGGAAAAGATTGCCTAGCCTTAAGCCTACAAAACCTCAAAGATGCGGCAGAGCATCAAACCAGAGCCGACCAAGCACTCGGGCCTGGGCCTAGCTGTAACCGCGCGGTGTTGCATGACACTTCACCTGTGACCTCCAACCTTTGATGTGGAGTAACAAGGCCCTCAACAAGTGCTAACCACAACACAACCGCCACCAAGCTCGGCCTAGCTAAAGCTGGTTTGGGGGGGGGAGCGACACCGTCCAAAATGATCTGAAGACGACTGACTGAGTCTCAATGCTGACGTTCCTTGTTAGGTCATAGTGACTTCTTCTGTTGCCTGAGAGGGACGTAAAAATAGAGGGGCGAGGTTTGTTGGGGAGGGAGGGGGGCAGGTAGAATGAGGTGAGGAGAATAGGAAAGAGGACAGAACGTTAATGAGGACGGACCTAAAAAGATAAGAGGAGGAGGAGGAGGAGGACCAGGAGGACGAGGAGAAGAAAGAGGTGAGGAGGAGGAGGTGGGGGGTGTGTGAGGAGAGAACATAGAAGAAGAGAACGAGGCAGACGGAGAAAAGGGGGATGAAGGAAGGGAATGGCTCGACGAGAAAGAAAAACAGGATGAGGCACAGAATATAAAGAATAAAAGGACTTTTTTAAAAAAGGGGGGTGGGGGCGGATATGTTATAAAAGTAAAAGAAGAAAGAAAATCCTAGATTAGTTACGGACAAGAATAATCACACGCAGGAAAAGGAGTAGGAAGAAGCGTTGGAGAAAACTAAGAAAAGAAATAAAGGATGCGGACAGAACATTAATCGCAGAAACTGAGAAGGAAAAGAAAAACAGGAGGAAAAGGCAGGCGGAGATTTTGAAGATAGTGAAAGAAACAGTAATTGTTGGAAGGAAACGAAAAGGGTTCAGTTAAAATAAGAAAGAGGGTTGAAGGAACAACAGGGGAAACTCATTTTTAAAAACTGCAAGAAAAACACCTGCTTCCTGGTAGAAGGAAAAGGTAAACACACACACACACACACACACACACACACACACACACACACACACACACACACACACACACACACACACACACACACACACACAAGCGCACCTATTTCACTTGCACCTGTCTTTCTGCCTCTTCTATCGATCAACCACCCAAAAAAACCACGTTGACACTGGACACAGACCTGAAGAACATGCTGTTGGGGGAGACATTGGAAGAGGAGACCGAGGACGGGGCAGCCTCAGGAGTCTTGTCACTGCACATCAGCTCGTCAAGCGCCGCCCCTACGGAGGCAGAGGGCGTGGTCGCACCCAGAACCCCACCCCCTCCATGGTGGGCGAGAGGCTGGGGGTGGGGCTTATGGTGGTAAAGAGGGTGGTGGTGGTGGTGATGGTTATACTGCAGGTACTGGTGACCCTGGTACGGGAGGCTGCCCTTGCTGCTGTTGTTGCTCAACAGCTGGTACCGACTGCTGACGCTGTTGCTGCCGATGTGGTGGGGATACTGCTGGTTGTAATGGCTGTTGTAGTAGCTGCTGTAGTGGTGGTGGTGGTGCTGGGGCGGGTTTTGACCCGGCTGCGGCACGTTCATCGCCACCTTCTCCCACCAGCCTCGGGTGGCGATGATGCTGCAGAGCCGGCAAACGCAGGAAGCGGCGGCCAAACAACAAAGAAATATCCACGATCCAGCTTAACACGTCATCATCCTCTTCAGGGGGAGACGAGGGGGGTAGGGGCGGAGTGGGGAATGTGATCCGCGCGTTAATCCAGATCGAAACACACAAAGTAAACACAAGCAGAACACGCTTCACACGTCACTAATCCTCCGGATTTACTGGCAGTTGTTTAAAGAGGCATCGACAAGCATCAAATCCTCGCCCATGGCATCCTGCAGCACAATACTGAATACCGCCGAGAAATCCCGACCACTGACAAATCCAGTTCTCTGAAGCTCTTCTCTCTACACCGAGACAGTGACTTTAAATCCACAACATGAAAGTAAAATCTCTACACACAATGAAAGTCTCCACGCCGGTCACACGGTTAAGTCTGCTATCCCTTTATCAGGAAAAAGCAAATATGTAAATAATATTTCAGGCTGAATTTATCGGCGTACTTGTTTGCACTTTATATGCTATAAATTTCTCGAACGTTATCTGAAGCCTTAAAAATTGAAAGGGTGTGCGGAGATGAGTCGCGGGGAAGGACAGCGTAAGAGCAATAGTGCATTATAAAAAACGACAAACAGACAGACAGACAGACAGACAGACAGACAGACGGACAGACAGACGGACAGACGGACAGACGGACAGACGGACAGACGGGCAGACGAGCAGACGGACAGACAGGCAGACAGACAGGCAGACAGACAGAGAGACAGAGAGAGAGAAAGAAAA